GTTTTGCTTGTATACATATTTAAAAAAACTCATTTTAAGGCTTTCCAAGAAATTCTTCATTTATGTTTTTCTGTATGACTAAACCTGGCTGATAATGGATCCTTTTTCCATAATCATCGTCAAGTTTTGGATGCTTTGAAAAGTGGTCCCTTTGTCCTCCAGCAGCCTAAGCCTTTAGAAGCTGAACTATAGAGCTGGATCAAGACACAAGAGAAAGCATACAGAGAAAATCCAAAGTTCAACTTTACAAAGCATCCAAAACTTGACGAGGATTGTGGAAAAAGGATCCATTATCAGCCAGGTTTAGTCATACAGAAAAACATAAATGAAGAATTTCTTGGAAAGCCTTAAAATGAGTTTTTTTAAATATGTATACAAGCAAAACAGAGAACATATTTTTAGTGGCCTCAACTATCTTGTCATAGCTTTTTCAAGCCTTGAATATGTAGTATCTAAAAAGATTTGCACTTGATGAACCCTTTGAATTTCTCAACTGTTCCATGTTAGGTGCTTTGTACACTGGGAGAAACCTGCGGTGACTTCCTGAGGAGGAGGGTTTCTAAAGAGGTCCTCCCCAAGCTGAGCTCCTCACTGACACGGCAGGCTCCCATTAGCGCTAAGGCCGGGCCTGTCTACACCCACACCCTGGCCTACAAACTGCAGCTGGCTGTGCTGCAGGGGCTGGGCTCATTGTGTCAGAGACTGGATCTAGGTAAGCGACCAAAAAACACCTGCAAAGGTTTGATGGGACACAACAGAACAGTACTGTTTGTTTGAAACTATATATAGTATTATAATAGAGGGTCTCTTTAGACCCGAGTTATTTATTTGTTATATTTTTAAAGAAATGTTTAAATAGTTTGGATGAATACTAATGTGTTCAATTTGTATTTTAAATTGGAAAGCTAGATAATTATAAAGAAATATAAGAAAACCACCCCAAATTTTGTTTTCGATGTTTGGAGGCAGTTTATTTTAAACCCATAATCAAATATTTGTTTACTTTTGACCCAGACTAGTTTAGAGTTTCAGCAGATTTGTTATTTTATAGGTATTTTGAAACCATGTGGTTCTATTCCTGTACCATTAGATGGCAGTGTAATATAACAGTATAAATGTAGCAGAGCTTCTTTGTGTGTTTACTGGTGTATGAAGCTAAGATTTTAGAATTTACCTCCTTTGAATTTTAACCCAGAGGCACAAACCTTGTTCTGTTAATGTAACCAGGATTACTGGTGTTGTGAAGAAGGTGATGCTTTCCATCAGACAGCATCCCCTCAGATTTTTAAACTGGTATGCTGTTGTATTTAAAAAAAAAAAAAAGTAATTATAAATTCAATTTGCTCTCATGCATAAACCATAATTGAAAATCATCAGTGAAAATGCCTAGAGGCTGTGGCAGCACTTGGGTTCAGCATATTTTAAAGATGACTTTGAAGATTCAAAGCACAGCCAGCTGAGCCAACAGGATGCCACTGAGTCCTCAGCTGCGCACTCAGTAACCTCTGCAAAAGACCCGTCCCTTCTAGAGCTCCATTATACAACCATAAACAAAGCAACGCTGTTAAAGGGAAAATTAGCAAACAAGGACCTTAAAGATAGTAAACCTGTTCTCCTTATCACTGTAGTTAGGTCCAAGTTGTAGTGCAAAAAAATGTTCCTACTTTTCATTTGTTTTGCGTTTCTTTTTTTTTTTTTATCATTGATCTATTATTTATTTATTTCTCGATAATAGTTAGCACCTTATCATAAGGTTTGACTTCTTCTTGCCTGTGTTTTATTGTCAGGTTTGTACCATTAAGATGATTTTAGGGACCAAATTAACTTGAAATCAAAGAGAAAAGAAAGTTATGTTTGCAAATAAATGTATAATACTGGCCCATTTCCATCCACTGGCTATACCTGCTTCTCCATTTTAGGGTTGCAGAGGGTCATTGTTGGTGGAGTTACACCCTGGATGGATTCCCAGAACATTAATGGGATGCACACTATAGGACCAGAATTATTTGGTCATGCATCCAAATAATAGAAAGCAGTTGTTTCAATCACTTTAAGGCTGATAGGTGTATAAATGCAAGTGCTTGAGCATGCAGAGCATTTTAACAAACATTTGGGATGAAATAGAGCAGAGACTGAGAGCCAGGCTTTCTCATCCTACATCATCTGTGACCCAATAGATGTGGTTCTACAAGAATGGTGAAAAATACCCTTAAACATGCTCCTTAACTATGTCGACAGCCAGAAGAGCTTAAGCTGTTTAGGCTTCAAAGGATGGACCAGCATCATATGAGACCCTATAGATATGATTAATATGTGAGTTAAGGTAGATGAGTGGCTTTTGGCAACAACATGTATAACCATCTACACACACACCCAAGGGAAGTTCAGAGAGTCCAATGAACCTGGAAGTTTGTTTGAACTAGATCTGGGGCACATCACCTCTGCTTCTTTCTATATAGAGTTTGTACGTTCTTCCCATGCAGGCGTTGAATTTCAGCCAGACATGTTTAATAGCTTTAGAGTTGGATTAAAACTGTAATCCTTCACAGAAGTATAAAACTTTGAACTTTTACTCATATTGTTTTAGTTAAAACATTTGTTGGTGTAATTTGCTCAGGATGTGACATCATTACTTTCCAGAATTTAAGTTTTTTTCAATTGTTAATGGTTTCGCCAAACATTTTAATTGCAGTTTTTTAACCATTCTAAGGGTTTTTTAAATTATTATTACTAACTAAAAGCATGGTGATATTTTACTCCACAATTTTATTACTTTCATGGGTAATAAAGCTTGCTTGCCATAAGTCTATGGAGCTAAATTGGAGCCATAAAATGTGTTCAAAACATGTTTTTATAAAAAAAAAAAAAAAAAAAAAAGACTTCGCTCTATGATCATTCATGGGTCAGCACACTATCTGCTAGTCTCTCTTCTCCCTTCTTCGTGGAGTTGAATCCACTCAAGCACCTAGAAAAAAAACGCATTCTGTTAAAATGTGTTTATATTGCAATTAATTTCCCTGTCCTGATTTTGTTATAATTTCTTAGAAAGGGGAATTTCAGGTTTTAATGATGTTTAGATGATGATTATGTCACTATCCTGGAGAGAAATATCAGCTGTGCTGCT